ACAGCCTCAAGTACCCCGAAAACGGTGGCAAGCCTTACAGCGCCCGTTACATTGGTAGCATGGTCGCCGATGCTTACCGTACTCTGTTGTACGGCGGTATCTTCGCCTACCCGGCCGACTCGAAGAGCCCCAAGGGCAAGCTGCGTATCCTGTACGAGTGTGCGCCTATGGCTATGGTCTTCGAGAATGCAGGCGGTCTTGCTGTCAACTCGCGCATGGAGCGGTTGATGGAGGTTGTTCCTGAGAGCATTCACGATAAGAGTGGTGTCTTCCTCGGCTCGAAGGAGGAGGTAGAGAAAATCATTGCTATGTACAACAAGTACAAGAAATGAGCATCTCGCCGAAAGGTTATTTTATTCTGAATGCTGGTTTCCGGCATATTCCCACCTAACACTACCTCATTCTTGGACATGATTTAGCTGGTCGGAGTTTACGTTTTGGTTTTCCGACCTCTGCCTTGCAGACTTGTTTTCAGCGCTTTACGATACTTATACCCGCACAAGTCGGGATTAAAAAATAAAAGAAAATCTTTAAATCATACTGTTCTGTTGCGTATACTCCAGAGGATAGGAGCGTCACCAGATTAGGTGCCACAGAGAGTATTAACATCTATGCCATTAATTTCCACACACGCCCTCCAAAAACTATATTGTCCGTCTCTGCAATTCTTCTGGAGCTTAAGGTCCTAGCGAATCAGAATCGAGCTTGGCAATTGCTTGATACAGTTTTGGTGATAGCGTCAAATCCAATATGATGACTCCTCATTTGAGTGGGCGATGGCGTGCTCCAACTCAGCCCTATAATAGTTCAGAGCTTCCAAAGCTTTTTTTAAAAAAAAATGAAGCACTCTTAGATACCTGATTGTTTTATCGCCATACTCTGAAGGCCAGTATTGTTAGGGAATACATAGCCCTGGAGGTAGATATTCGACCATGTCTTCTCTACCCATCGAGAAAGCTCCGCGGACAGAAGCAGAGGAAAATCCCATAAAACCAGAGAATCCGGCTGGCTCTGAGCCTGCGCGTCAGAAATGGTATGAGTGGTTTGCGCCAACGGATACCCCCGCCGAGCGGCGGCTGATCCTCAAGCTCGATGGACTGATCATCGTCTTCGTCTTCCTGGCGCACTGGGCCAAGGTCTTGGATTCTTCGGCTACGAGTACCGCCTATGTGTCTGGTATGAAGGAAGACTTGGAGCTTTATGGGAACCAATTGAACTATCTTCAAACAGTCTACATGTAGGTCAACCCGATGGGCTGGAGATGCTGCCTGGCGAATGGGCATTGAGGGTTGATGCTGACTTCAATATCGGTATAGGGTTGGTTTCATCACCATGCAGATTCCTTTGACATTGTTGGTTCGTTGTCATTTACAATCCACCCCATGGAGATACTGATTTGCTGACTGCTTTCCATAGATGACTCGCTGCCCCGTGAACTATTTCCTGCCTGCCGCCGATCTACTCTGGGGTGTCTTCACCCTGGCGCAATACAAGGCTAGCAATGTCACCCAGCTCTACGCTCTCCGCTTTTTCGTCGGTGCTCTTGGTGGCTTCTTCTTCCCTGCCGTGCAATGGTACTTGGGCAGCTGGTACAAGCGCTCAGAACTGTCCCGTCGAGGCGCGATCTTCTTCATTGCCTCCCAAGTCGGCAGTATGAGCTCGGGGTACATTCAAGCTGGAGCTCATGCCACGCTTGATGGTCGGTATGGGGTTGAAGGGTGGAGATGGCTGTACATTATTTGTGAGTGTATCCCAACTTTGTCACGCAAGAAGAAAAATGCGGCACAGGCTAACAACATCAGGCTTTGCATGCACAATCCCTATCGCCTTCTTAGGCCTATGCGTCCTCCCCAGCACACCGGATAAATGTAATTCGCGCTTCCTCAGTGCCGATGAAATCCGTCTGGCGCAAGAGCGGATGGCATCCGAGAACCGCGAAGCCCGCCAACCTTTTACCAAGTCCAGGGTTCTCCAAATCCTGAGAGGCTGGCGGCTGTGGGTTCTAGTCGGGTTTGCATTCTTTTTCTCGCAGGCAGACGGTGTATCCTCGAACAGTGGCTTTCCCATCTGGCTTAAAGCGGAGGGATACTCGGTTGAGAGCATCAATACGATCACGACAGTCTTGCCGGCGGTCACCATTGTGGCGTCTGTGATCTGTGGAGTTATATCTGATGTGTACGATGCGAAGGCTAGCTTGATTGCTGCCACTGCTGCGCTGAATATCTTTGCTTGCATTGTGCTAGCTATCTGGAATGTCCCTGTTGGACTAAAGTTCTTTGCATTCTTCCTGTCTGGCACGGCGAATGGTATTGCGGCTATTATATATGCCTGGGCAAATGAGATCTGTGCTCATAGTGCCGAGGAGCGTGCTCTTGTCATCAGTGCAATGAATACCATTGGTAATACCTTTGGGGCTTGGATTCCACTTTTGTGAGTGTTGATGCAACCTGTTGGTGCTGACCTTTATACTAACCATTTCTTCTTCATTTAGCGTGTGGAAAACTGTTGATGCTCCGAGGTATCTTATTGGATATAATTGGACTATTGCCCTTGATGTGTGCATGCTAGCTATGCTAGCTGTTCTATGTCAATTCTGGGCTCGCGAAAAGAAGCGGTCTCATACATAGTTGGGGATCATGCTCGCAGGGTGTAAAACAATAGATTAGGATAATTTTATGATTAGATTCCGACTTTCCTCTCTGTGTTCTATATTGCAGTAGTCTGTTACTATAATGCCCAGATGACCTCGGGAGGCGGGCCGTTGGATACTTGACGTAAGCAGAACTCGCCTATGGCAAAGCTAGCCCCAATGTAGGCTAGCGCCGGCTGAAGGTGATTCCGCGCCGTCGTAGCTTGAAAAAAGTACAAATTTCTGCTTTCACTCTTTTCTCTTCCATCATCCTACTCTCATCTTCAGCATGGTTAATGCTTCCAATGCAAACGGAGATTGAGGTCAATTGATCTCTGGCCTTGAGCCAACCATCACTCTCGACACAATGTGTCTTCCACTAACCAACAGGCGCTCTGCAGGATCTGCAACGATGGTAAGATCTTGTCCACTCCATTCCCCTCCAACACAACCACACACCCAACATGATGATACCTTTAACCAAACAAACTAGAGTCTTTGACCTCAAGGGGAATGAAACTTATGTTATTGCACGTCAGGCTGATCTCACCTCATCACTTTGAATTATCACACAAATTTTGAGTTGGACTGCGCTAACTTGCCTTTCCAGAAATGATTGTAAATACATCTCAGCAATTGCAGACACCACTAAAACAAGCGCAGATGGTGAGTTTCCTTTATCCCCTTTCAACCTCCCCACCCCTATATCATGATGAACGCGATGTGTATGAAAATACGCTGGAAATTACCGTCTCAGACCTTCGGGTCGGTGATGATACAAATGGCTTTTTCTGATCTTTACCCAATCACAACATTTGAATGAAGATTCTTGTCGAACCATAAACTAATGTTTCGAAGACCAATAGGTTACTGCGCTGGCTCAAATGGTAAGCCTAAAGCACCTTTCCCACAAGATTCTCTGTCCAAAGATGAAACGGCACTGGGCTCCGACGGCGTTTAAAAATGTCCGGTCATGACTGGAGATGCCTTTTTGCGGCAGGCCTAGAAAACCTCGCCCACTGAGACATACCATATATTCATCAACTCGTGAGATGGTTTCGTGACACAGTCACTAACCCTTTTTGAATAGAAGCCTATTTGATTATGCCCGATTGAGACTCAACTGTAACTGTAGAAGGTATGCGATTGAATCTGTTTTTTTTTTTGTTCTGCCCTACCTTTTATGATGATACCCTTTAGATGACGAGTCTGATTCGAGTTTTCGATGCTGACAAAATCTTTTTTAATAACCATTCATGCCTTTCTGACATTCACTCCTACACATAATTTCACTCATCAAATTTCGTTGGCTGGTGCTAATGATTCTTTGAAGACAGATATTTTCCAAAGTTCCAAGAACTATCTCTTGACTGTGGGTGTATGTACACCTTGTCTCCTTCCCCTTCCCGACTTTTCATGATGAAACGACATAAAAGACAAGCATATGTCCTAGTCAGCTTGCTGGCGAAGACGAGAAACTGTCCTGCCTGATCAATTCAGTCTCATACATTGCTACAATGTCCATTCAGTACTCGACGCTGATGGATCTTGAACAGAAACCGTTGAGCGACCTAATATTGCAGACGCCATTAGCGATCTGATTTTATTTCTGTAAGTTTTTTTTTACAATGTCTTTTTGCCTCCCCTTTTATGATGATCCACTTCAATTTATCACGACGGTCAACGTAAGGATTTAATTTGACGACCACCGCCTGTGACAAGGCTTTTATCTGAAATTCCTTCTACTACATTTTGTTTGCCATCGCTTGTTAGACTTGATACTAATATCGATTCAGTGAACAGTTCAAGATATCGGATCCGACGGTCTTCCTTCGGGGGACGTGGATATTATATCCTGGTCTTCCATTAGGGAAGTCCGGAGTAGTTAGGAGCTTATACTGGCAAATACCAATAAGAAATCTAAGAAAAATCACCTGATCCTTTGTAATATGATCTGGATATCATTATGTAGACCCTGCTCTAGTCCTTTGTGCAAACCTTTTAAAGATAATCCCTTCTCTATATTATTCTCTTGTGGTTCGTTGTTTTATTGCGGGGACAAGGGAAGACAAGGATGTTGGACCTCTCATAGAGAACGATACGCGCCGAGCTTGGGCCCCGAATGTGACGAGAACCTCGTAAGGTGCATAACAATCCCCGCTACGGCCTGGCTCATTTGTTCTCGGAATTCTTCTTTCTGTTCCAAATTTAGATTTCCTCTTATGTTCGTAGTATGGGGCTATTCCCCTCCCCTCAAGCTTGCTCGATAGAAAAATTAGTGTCTCGCCAGTTTCGAGCCAATAGCTCTTTCTCTGTTCTGTTGGGTTATCCTCTTTTCCAGGCGGCCATGGCTTCGGATCGGGCCTCCTAAATGGATGCACAGCCCAGTATGAATAGGTGCGACTCGTATTCTCACTCCCGGGGATTTTCTATATACTGATCCTCTCTAGCTGGTTGGGGTCAAATCATGCAGGCGTCGAGCAGCCGCTGAGCAACCATTATCCAGGCTGGTCATCGACATCTAGTCCCAACAATCAGCCATCACCAGGTCGCCGAGAACATGCTGTACAGCCGCCATTGTTGACAACAGCACTGAGCGGTCCTCAATACCAGGGTCTTGGAAGTGGTCTTGGACTAACACCGACGCCTTTATCATCGACCTCGCTGTCGAGCCCTTTTACTCACGGTCTATCGCCTGCTGTTCCATCTCCTATTAACGGCAGATCCGTTTCGGCATCTTCGATGACGTCCAGAAACGCATACAATGTTCCTTATAATCCCCAGGACTGGGGGCCTCCGGGCAGGCCCCAGACGCAGGCCCCGTATCTTCCACCAGGCACGATGCATCGTGTGACGCCGCAGAGAAATAATCCGGGTGAGTCTCGCTCATAGCTTATGCCTATGTAGACCAGTGGTATCCCAGAACCCTATTTGAATTGATATTGATCCTTGGGTAGATGTGTCGTTGTCTCCACCTCCTCCGCCATACTCACCTCCCAACCAAAATCGAATGTCTCAGGATTTTTCCGGTCAGGCAAATCCTAACTTTGCGGGAACGCCTTCTCCACCTGACAGGGAGGGTGGCTTTGATATGCCTGTCCAGCATCAAAGACGCTCAAATCGGCCAAGGCCACTATCTATGGCTTACCTGTCTGACTCTCAGCGCCAGTCTCTACCCCCTCCACCTCCCCCGCAGGGACATCCAGCCAGTAGATCTGTGTCTCAAGGTCGAGTCGAGTACCAGGGAATGCCCTATAATGACCAAGCTACGCAATATAACACTGCTAGCCACAGGCCTCGGCTGGCACAGTACGACCAGGGCCAAGCCTCGCCCGCATTTAACGAACATATGTCTGCAAGTGCTCACTTCGAGACACCATCCCGCCCCCTGGATCCCGACGTGCGGCATCTGCTGGGGCCGTGGTAAGCAGTGCGGGCTCATCGAGGGCAGCGAGCCAGTCACGAACTCGATCGCCGTCAAATAGTAACTGGGAGCCTGGGATGCCCCTTCCGCCGCCACCTCCAGGGCCTCCTCCCGCTGCAAGGTCCGTCAGCGTGAGTGGCTCGTCCGAATCATCATTGAGAACGACCCATAGCTCGAATAGGACGACGAGACGGGGACCTCCTGTGCTAGGAACAGGACTGGGAAGCATCCCGCCTACGCCAGCTGACTGGATAGATGAGGGATATCTGAACAGTCGACCAACGGAGGGTTTATATGTTGACACGGCAAAAGCGGCGAAGGCACCAGAGCCGACGGATGGAGATCCCCACGATTCATCTAATCAAAGAACTCCTGGTAGTGGCGGTCTTTTCCGCAGCTCAGCAGTCCGCGATCCTAGTGCCAAGGGCATCCGTGAAAGACGAATTGAACGACGCAACCGGCAAAGCCAGGTCTTTGAACCCCCAAGTGCGATATCATCAAATGGTAATCCTTGGGCCGATGCTCTCGAACAGGTTAAACCGTCGAACCTGATTCTACCATCTCAAACCAATAGCCCAACTCAAGATCTGCATCCCACCTCGGGCAAGTACGATCAAACCCCTCGCAGTACCCGCAGCATTAAATCGGAAGGACCGCCTACTGCCTCACGGCCTCGAGCGTCTTCCAGCGCTCTCCTTCCAGAAAAATCACCCTATGGGACTCCTAGGCAACAACCCAGCTCTGCTGGTCCCTCGGCTGCATTTGCACATACGCCTCCATTTTCACCAAATCCAAACGGAGTGGACCCGTCAACATATCCCAAAGAAGCTAGCCAGGCAGTACCACCAAAAGCACTACCAACTCCACCTCTGAATTCAGCAAAAGAGGTCCGGCCACGCTCACGCTCCCGGGCACCCTCCCGAGGACCGGAAGACCGTCCCATCTCTCACATCCTCCACATGCCTAACGAAGCTGTGTCGATTATGAAACCCTTGTCGCCGCGCCGAACGCCGGGACAGCAAACGACGCAGGTGTCAATGGAATCGATCCTTAGACAGGATCCTGCTTTCCTACAGGATGCGATTCAAAGGCACAAGACCTTTATTGATAAAGAAGCAAGTGCCGAGGATGATACCGAAGCACTCAAGATATTTGCGGACTACATGCTTGCCGAATCTCAGATCCGGCGCCAGCGGTACTCCAAGGTCTGGGAATCCTTCCAAGTAGAAGATGTCCGCCGCAATCTTTTCGAATTGCCGGTCAAGCAACCACCAAAGCCTAAGCCCCAGCCAAAACTAGATATCCCACAAAACCGAGCAGGTCGACCGGAATCTGCGTGGTGGAATAACTATCAGCCTTGCCTATCGCCGATTGCCAGCCTCAACATGAGCAACGATGAGAGCTCTCGGGGCCGTGCACCAAGTCGCTGGTGGGAGTCGGCAACCGGTTCCACTGGCGAGGGGGCCGAGAGAAGGGTTCAGCGATCTAAGCGGGAATCGAAGTATATGGGATTGCCTCGGGAGGCAATGCACGGGGACCAGGAGTTGACTCCTTCTCAGCCCAAGGATGTGAGGATGAACTATGGGAGTACGGAATATGGATCTGACGAGTACCCACCTGAGAAAGTCGGCTGGCATGAAGGGTCTCCTGCAAATTCCACTGGGACTGGATATCGCTACGAAAGCCGCAATTTAGATATCTCGCGGTTGATCACCCTGCCTCCGCCTTATCCCCGCCACCATCCTGCTGTGAACAACAGCCATCCTGATTTAGTCACCCATCGAACTACGGTTCGGTCAATTACTGATCTCGCAGAGATCAAAACCACCAGACATCGGTACAAGGCCGATGTGGAGCGAATGCTTCAAGAGCACCAGCAACAAGTCGACGAGGGTCATCGCCACTTCAGGTCGAACATCCAAAGCCAGATTCAAGATGGCAGTCTGACCTTTGCGGAAGCAGCAGAGGCTGAAGCAGCAATGATTGCCGCAGAGAACGAGCGAGAAAGGGCAATGGTCAAACGCCAGCTAGACACATACCAAGAAACAGTGCTCAAGCCGATGCACGCCATTCTCGTTGACAGGATTAACAGAGCAACAGCCTGCATTGACCAGTTAAGCAGCATGCTCTCGGATGATGCACAGAGCGGGACACCCGATCAGACTCAGGAAGAAGGCGACGAGAAGCCCGAGCTCCTGGAGAAACTGACGCAACTAAAATGGCTCTTCGAAGCCCGCGAGCAGCTCCACCGCGAGTCATTTGACCTGATCAGCGACCGCGACGACAAATACAAAGCCGTCGCCCTACTCCCCTACAAGCAGGCCAAAAACGAAGACAAGCTACGTGAGACGCAAGCCTTCTTCGCCCAGGACGCACTAGACCGCCGCGTACAGTACGAAAACGAGGCGCTAACCCGGCTTGAAACATTCCTGAACGTCATCGAGCAGAACGTCATGCGAGGAGTCGAGGTGCAACTCTCCGCATTTTGGGATATCGCCCCATCCCTCCTGGCTCTTGTGCAGCAGGCACCTGATGACCTGCGCGGCTTCCAGGTGCAGATCCCCGCGGATGAATACGAGGAAAACCCGAGCTACCATGAGCATCCGCTGCAGTATCTGTATACGCTGCTGGCACATGCGGAGAAATCGAGCTATCAGTTCATTGAGTCGCAGACAAATCTACTGTGTCTCTTGCATGAGGTGCGGTCTGCCGTTATGCGAGCTAGTCAAAAGCTTGTGGAAGCACAACGTATTAAGCGCGGGGAGGCGGAGGAGGATGTTCGTCGTGAAATGCATCAGACTCGTGCTGATGAAGAGCTAGCCCTTACGACTGATCTGAAGGATAAGGTTGCTACCGTTGAGGGTCAGTGGACTGAGGCGCTGGGGAGCCAAATTGAGGGTTTGAGAGAACGAGTTAAGGGGCAGCTTATGAGTGAAGATGGTTGGGAGCAATTGGAGCAATTGGAGGAATAGATGTGTGGCTTTTGTGATTTCTTTTTATGTACTTGGCAGCGTGATATCCCCATTCGTTCGTTATAGATCGAGTGACGCGAGGCAGTGCCTGCGAAACTTGAGTTTTTGGTATCATTTCGGTTGAATTTACATATATTTCAACCAGTCAATCCCAATTTCCAAGTGAATATGAAAAAGATGAAGAATGACCTCATGATATACTGCGATATCGCTAGCGTTATCCACAGTCACGTGCACCTTCTAGAGTCTTCCGTCCCGGCGCTTCAAATAGCTCTCTTCCCCCTCAACTCTCCTTTCTTTTACTTCACCTCAGTCCTTAGTATCCTTGTCATTGATATTCTGGACTTGATTACAAACTGTAAGTTTCAATTGTCTTTGCTTTTACACCATTCCCTTTGAGTGCAACGGTTGTGGGATTATAACCCTCGACCCTCATCACTCAATTGGCCTTACATGAAGAGAATTCAGCTGGCACCAGTCTGAGAGATGTTTCTCCATCTACTTGCGGACAACGCTTAACAAGTCCGGGATACGCCCCGAGACCTGACATTGGCCTTTCCTTACACACCTGCAATTTTCATTCACGAGAAAGAATCTTGGCTAACAGGAATTTCCAACAGAACTTTTAGCACACTTTTTTTCCAAAAGATTTCTTTTTAAAAAAACAGCAAGCAACCCACTTTATCAGAGTTTTCTTTCATTCCCCTAGTCAACATTCATCATGGTCCTTCACAACCCCAACAACTGGCACTGGGTCAACAAGGATGCCTCTGGCTGGGCCAAAGAGTACTTGCAAAAGAACCTTGTCGGCATCAGTGTCGAGGAAGGGGGCGTTTCAGCCAAAGTAGACAAGCTGTTGTCCATGGATGGCGACGTAGATGTCAGCCAGCGCAAGGGCAAGGTCATCACTCTGTTCGATGTCAAGGTCTCGCTAGAATACTCAGGTTTGTAGTCCAATATCAATTCAGTTTATTTCAATTTGCTTTTTTTTTCTCTTTCTTTTGTGGACCTGGCAGCTGAGACGCTTCCATAGGTAAGACCAAGGACGATGAGGATGTCAGCGGCACCATCAGCATTCCCGAGGTAGCCCACGATACCGAGGAAGATGAGTACGTCGTATGTTCACTTGACCCATCCCCATCGCCAAGGTGACTTGTAATACTAACCATGTAAATCCCCTCCAGTTCGAGATTGAAAACCACGCCGACTCCAACTCCAAGCAGCCCGTAAAGGACCTGGTGCGCACAAAGCTCGTCGCCGAACTCCGCAAGGCCCTTTCCGGCTTCGCCCCCGCCCTGATCACCGAGCACGGCAAGGACCTCCAGCACGCCCCGGGCGTCAACCCATCCAGCGGCTTCCCCAAGGCCAGCGTCCACCCACACGTCAAGGCCGAAACCTCAGCCGCGAAGACCACCACCACCACCACGAAGACCGGTAAGGCCGTCGTCAACACAACCACCGTGAAGGCCTCGGATGAGTTCCGCACCACAGCCGCCGAGCTCTACAGCACCTTCACGGACCCGCAGCGCATCACGGCGTTCACGCGCGGCGCGCCTCGCCAGTTCGAGGGCGCCAAGGCCGGCGGCAAGTTCGCTATCTTCGACGGTAACGTGACTGGCGAGTTCGTCACCCTCAATGAGCCTAAGCAGATTGTCCAGAAGTGGCGTCTTGCTCAGTGGCCTGAGGGTCACTTCAGCACGCAGGAGATCAATTTCGATCAGAATGATATCGACGGTGTTACTCAGATGCGTGTTTCTTGGTCTGGCGTTCCTCTTGGCCAGGAGGATGTCACCAAGCAGAACTGGGACATGTACTATGTTCGCAGCATTAAGCAGACTTTCGGGTATGTCTTCTTTCCTTTCTTATTATATCCTGCCTCCTGCCTCCCATTTGTTTCTGCTGCCCATTCATCTCTTTCGGGATACCCCCTTGTTTCTCCTGGACTGCTTTGCCAATCCGCCCTCTGTCTACAGATCTCAGCCTTCCTCAGCAATCTCGCAATACTGGAATCAGTCACTAATCATACTCGTTATTCTGCTTGGTGTAGGTTTGGCACTATTCTCTGATCGACTACATCTCTCACCGGTGGCATGAAAGACACACAAAACAATGCATTCGTCCGAAGACTTCTTCCTTTTTTCTCCATGAATTGGCCACAGATAAAGATTGCAAAAGCGCAAGCACTAGATTATTTGCCTTCTTTTTCAATTCGTGTCTTTTTTCTTTCCCACCCGTCTGGCCCTGCAGTTGTTGGGTCTGGGCACAATGATGCTATGACAAGAGGAATGGTCTTATGTCTATGATAATGAAGATAAGTTTATGTTTTGATCTACTTGAGCCCTTTGATAGATGGCATCCTGGTCACTCCATTGCTGGGGTTTGTTTGCCCTCACAGTAACCCCCGGCCTTCGAGCATGCCGACTGAGATTGAGTCCTGCAGTTGATGGGTCTCTTATGAAGAGCACCTCAGGATATCCTTTCAAGATCCCTGATATCGAGGTAGAAGGAGTCTTGCGAAGAGGCCCGCCAAGAGATCGAAGGCTTTCTTTGCTTTCTCGCTTTTGTCTCAACCCTCGACACGTCTGCCCCGTGTAAATTGCTCTTGGTGTAACCTCTTTCCTCCACGGCACTGTCTGCTAGCTAACCTGGTAAAAAGTCAAATAACAGACCCAAGCAAGATGAAGATCTTGATGATCATAGGAGCCAATGTCTAGGTAGCTAGCCTTTGGGAAGATAGATCCAAGCCTTGCTGCGAAGGATGAGATCGTCTACATGAACTCATACACATCGCATTGATTGGGCAGAATATAGAGTAGCAATGCACACTATGTGTTATTTCATTCATCGTCTATGTCATTCCTATTTATTTTACTAGCCAAGATCTATTCATTTTAAGACCCGACTACACTCTTACAGAGTGCGCTCAATGAGCTCCATGCCGTAGTCCTCCTTGAGGGTCTTAATAAGAGGCTCACAGATGTCCCAGGTAACGGGAGCGAGAACACCCTATAATGAAGTTAGTATAGAAAACGTGAGAGTCAAGGGCATAGGGATAAACGTACAGTCTTGCTGATAGTACCATCGAGAACCTGCTTAACAGCAACACCGCAAGGAATACCAACGGTGCGGGCCATGGCGGAGCTGACGGGGTTACCGTACTCGCACAGAGTGGAAGTACGGGTCTCCTTGGAGCCGTCCTTGTTTTCGATCTCGAACTTGTGCTGGAGCATAACAAGGTCACGCTCGTCGGGACCGTACTGCATCTTCTGCTCGAGGGTAGCGCAGAGGGTGTCGAGGGCGTTTCCACGGGGGATGGTCTGCTCGTCGGAGAAGAGACCAATCCAGCGCAGGCCGGAGAGGAGACGATCACGCTCGTCGTTGTTAGGGAACTTAGTCTTGGATGCGATGGCCCATTGCAGATCCTTCTCGGAGGAGGAGGTAGCGCCGAGAACGGCCTTGGTGGCCTCCTTCCATGAAGTGGCCTTATCGAAGACACTGTTAGGGGCGTCGTTGAGGAAACCAATGTCGACAAGGACCTTGATCATCTCGGGGAAGCCCTGGTAGCGAAGGGTGCCGCGAATGACGGTCTGGGCCTCGGGGATACCGTAGCGCTCGCGGAAGGGAGTCTGGAAAGATTAGTTGACTGAAATCAAAGTCTTTGAATGCAAAAGTGTCATACAGAATCACGGTTGGGGTAGCCGACGAAGGCGAATCCGGGGTAGATGAAGAAGGGCTTGGCGGTAGCCATCAGATCGGGGCCGTCGATGGACACGATCTCACCATCTGTATTCTGCGTTAACAAGTTTTGATTCCTGTTTATATGTAAACAGCGCACGTACCCTGGTAGATCTTGGCGGCGTTACGGAGGGCAAGAAGCACACCGCGGCTGAGCTAGTTAGTCATTTGTTCAAGCAAAAACTCAATATTGGACTTTAGCTAACCTAGACCAAGAGAACTTGAAACAATCATTTGTTAGCTAGTTATCGAATTAGTGAGAATTGGGCTTTTGCTAACCTTGTATCCCAAGGGGTTGTTGGAGCATTCGGGGGCGGGCAAGCTGTCGTTTGTTAGCTATACCTCCTATAGAACATGGGAATGATGGGACGAACCCTCCACAGAAGGAAACAAAGCTGGTAATCTTGCCACCAGCAGCGTGGACCTCGTGAATGGTCTTAACAGCGTCTATTTCGTATGAGCGTCGGTCTGTTTTAATCCATGGCATAGACACTTACAGAGGTGGTCGAGACCAGGGTCGAGACCGATCTCGTTCATGACGGTGATACCAGCCTCACGGCACTGCTCATCCAACTCCATCATCGCGGGGGAAACGTAAGAAGTGGTGACCACATTTGTCTGTAGTAAATTAGTAAGGTACTCGCTTCCTCTTAAGAAGCAATAGTTACCTTAGTGCGGATAGCAGACTTGATGACGGTAGCGTGGAAAGTGTATGGGATAAGCGAGATCACAACATCGGCTTGGTTCAGGGCAGCATCGAGAGCGGCATCGTCGTTGACATCAAGAGAGATGGCCTTGGCATTCTTGAAGCCAGAGGCCAGGGCCTGGGCGCTCTCGAGGGTACGGCAAGCTATTATCGCATTGTCAGCGATGTTCAAGGCAATATGAGTCCGTATAGCTTCAATTAAACATACCGACAGTGACCTCGACATCAGCCTTGCTGAGGACCTCAACAGTGGGCTTGGTGACTACCAGAAATCAGAAATTAGCAAATGTATTGACTCTAGAAGTCCGATGCGGGGCAGCATGACGCATTTGGGGCTTGGAGTTTGGAAGAGAGACGGGAGGCGTACCGAAGCCCGAACCCAAAAGGAGGGCCTTGGAACCGGCAATTTGCTTGACCATTTTGATTCAATTGATATGATAGATGATATTGGGGTAGTTCAACTGGAGAACATCCCGCAGTCCTTCTCTGTGTGACTCAATATCACGTGAACCGGTATCGGCGCGGGGGTTTACTAAGCACGGATTACCGCCCGGGGCCC